CACTCTTTGCATCTCCAAAGGCGATGCAATCTACAGAGGCAGTAAACAATGAACGCAAGCATTTTCTTCGACATTCAGTGACATTTACTATCCAGTCTTGGACCAAAAAAAAAAATTATATATATATAGATCTATATCCAATATATCCTATATATTCTGCATCCCTACTACAAAGCAATTGACTTGGAATGCATTTGTGGAATTTGTATGTATTTAACAGTCAAAGTAACCACTGTTTATGAAACCAAAGAACCCAAAACTGCAAATCACAGAAGGATTCCCATAAGATCAGACTGATGTGAGCTGAAAAGCAGAAAAACAGTCAACAAAATGACAAACTAACCTCCTCTAACTTCGTGCTGCTTTGCCACTGATGTATACAGTTACTTCCCTAGAGGTTAAATCACAAGCTCTCAGTTCAGCTTTGTTTAGTTGGAGACTTTTTTTTAAAAATCAACTGAGAGATGACACAGTCAGCCTATGCTTTTTGTCTTCCAAAGCCTTGCCAAAACCTAAAGGGCTTGGGGAAGTTATAGGCAGTTGTCTTACCTCAGTATGCCATCATAAAGTTACCAGTACAAGCCCTCATTCATGAATAACTGGGATCCTATCACTATTGTGCCCTTCAACTAGACACTTGAGCCTGGGTTGCTCCAGAGGGACTGTGCCATAGATTATATACTCAAAGTCACCTTGGATAAGAAAGTGACTGCTAATGTACGGTAATGTAATGTAAATACACTGCTCATTCTGACTATGACATCACTGCAACTCATGTGTGTGAGGACCTGTGACATTGCAGGAACAGTACAGAGATTATCTCACTTTTTCAGTAAGAGAAAAGGCAGACTGATCTGGGAAGAGATGTGAAAGTATTTACTCACAAGACTCACAATGACTAAACTCAAGTTATACGGTGATGTGATTCCCCATGAATCTCCTGCATTGTTAAATATTCATTCACTCGTAAGCCTCTCTGCTTCTGCAGAGGGGAATGAGTGCGGCTGTGGACTCACCTTGGAGAGATTAGCTTCAGGGCTCATTCTGTTCCACATCTGGCATGATGCTCCACTGCGGCTTAAACCGCTAATCCCAATAGGCAAAACACACCAAATATAAAGCACGCACGCAAATACACTGCTTTCAGTCACAGACAACTGTTTGGAGGCACACCATCCCATATGTGTCTGAACTTTCAGTTGAGTTCCTGAGTTAATGTCAGAAACTAAACAAAACTGCATTCAGTGATAACCGAGAACACCAAGGCTTGTTATATGCAAACTATCCAGCAGTTAGGGTTTACTGTCTGATGTTGTGGTACAATTAAGGTCATACAGGGAATCTGTGTGCAGAAAAGAAAAAAGTTGAGTATATCACGTGCCCCATGTATATTTGTTATATTGATTATTGGTATTGGTTGATAGTGGATGTACACTACAGTTAAATAGTGTGGAGTCAGTTACAATATTTAATGTTTTTGAATGAAATCTTCACCAAATCTTATGTTCACCAGGGCTGCATTTATTTGGTTACAAATACAGTAAAAAAGTAATATTGTGAAATATTTTCACAAATGAAAATAACTGTTTTCTATTTTAATATAGTTTAAAATTAAACATAATGCTTTATATATTCATAACCCTGCTAAATGTAATCTTAGCAAAGCTCAAAATGAACATCCATTTTAATACTGAACATTATAGTGTTGTAATGCTTAAATTAATTTGAAGCATTAAAAAAATATATTTTCAAGGCTTTAATATCAGCAACAGTGTCAACCAGACATTTAATATTGGTGCATCCCTAAAATAATTGCTAATTTGATTTCAGAAACCAATAAAAGTGAAGTAGCCTAGATCAATATTAATATGAAGGCAACTGATCCAAGGGCAACTTATTAACATTTAATGATGTCTGTCTGCTCATTAGCACGTTTTATTAAATGCAAAAGATTCTCCAACCTCAGATAATGAATCTTCTCAGTAACACATCTTCAAATTAATTATAAGTGCAATTTTCTTTGACTTTAAGTTATCAGACATTCTCATGTAGCACGCTTACAGACAAATGAATACATATGGCATCATTCAATGAGCACTTCAGCCTTATTACATAATTAAATTCAGCATCCAAACATAATAAGGCTGATTCATGAATAATGATGTATTTAAAGACAAAACACTCCATTAGATGTGACAAATGGGCACTTCATATGCTGTGGCACACTCAAAGATCCAGTTAGGCATTTAAACATCAACTTGACTCACATTTTGGCCTCTCAGAACCCCTTTCACAATAGATGACCATCATGTTTGAGTACAATGGCTTCAAAAGAGACCTTTGATGTCCAAAGGGAGAAAGAGCCCTCTGAGATCATGCAAACAAGGGCCCTGTTTACACCTGATATCAACATCCATCTTGGATGATCCAGATGAGACGGATTGCGGTTTACACCGGTATTTCAGAAGTATTTCACCTGGTGTCTCAGAAGAGTCTTTGCACTAAATATATATGATGCAGTCATGGACATGGATTTCTGACTAGATCCGAATATGTTTTAAGTAATTGAATCGCACAACATTTGGACCCTGTTTTCACCTATGTTTAGTTTCATCCAGATTTTCTGAGGTCCATAATGACAATTTAATGTAGCATCCGTTGTGGCATACTCACTCACTGATAATAACAATACTTCCTTTGTAAGCTGCTGTTTTCCTTTAGTCTCACTTCATTCTTTTATTTTCAGAAAGTGAAAATAAAAGTACGCTTGGGATGTGCTATTTTTAGGCTGCTGAACACTCTTTCACAAACATGCAGGCAAGAAGAAAGCAGATGGTTATGTGGACTTGCGTGTGTGTGTTTTGGTGTGTTCTTTTGTCACGACACAAAGGAATACACTAGTGCTTGTGCACATGTGTATGTGCATAAGGAAAAGTATGTACAGTACGGTAATCTGCACTTGAGCAGTAATTTCTGGTCTATGCTTACTCTTTTATCTTGACACACATCCAAGCAAATGTTGTCTAAGATGTCTACCAACACACAGAACAAGTCAAAACCAAACGTTCAATGTGAGAGAGCTGCCAACTAGCTTTCAACATTCAATCACAGGAACACACAGACAGATCTGTCCCGTTGTAGGAAAGATTATGTCATTGAGCTTAGCAGGCTCAGATATTCCTGTCCTTTGACTCTTGTCGTGGCCTAATGGTTAGAGAGTTGGACTTGTAACCCGAAGGTTGCAGGTTCGAGTCTCAGGTCTGGCAGGAATTGTCAGAGGGGGGAGTGAATAACCAGCGCTCTCTTCCACCCTCAATACCACGACTGAGGTGAGACCCTTGAGCAAGGCACCGAACCCCCAACTGTCACTTTCACTTGTTTTCATATAGCAGCCAGGGACAGAAGGGAACACTACTGCCGTCAAAAGGGAGGCTGAGATAAATTAAGGCGACATGTCTCTTACAAGTCCCAACAGCACAGGCTAATAAAACAAGGCTAATTGTTTGCATGTTTGGTTTTATTTCATTCATTCAGATGCTCGTTCATTCCATCACAATATACTGAGAAAGGCTTGTATGTGCTTAATGGTCCTTAAAAGACCTGAAATCACAAGTCCTTGATGAATTATTACTGGATAAATTAATGTAGTTAAATAAACTTAAGCTTTGTTGAAAGGCATCTGTAGAAAGTTGCTAAAAAAAGATATAATTTTGACACATGCCTTGGTTTATAAAAACAAAGGAAAAATGTGTTAACAGTAATGCACTTACAATGGAAGCCCATTGGGGTCAGTTTTAAAGGCAGCAAATAAATGTTACATTTAATGTGTCGCTGGTCATTTGCATAAAGCTGAGCTCTGCTCAACTTTGTTTCTTTGCCAATTGTATCTTTTGCTTGTGTCAAAGAAAATCACCAACTCTTGCTAAAAAGGAATAATATCCTGTCACTTTGCTGCTGCAAATTGCTGTCAGTATGAGCAACCCTTTGGACTGTAAAAAAAAAAACTGTACAGATCAAGTTATTTTTTAAATGAATAATTCATGTAAGAATGTTAACAAAAATACAAGCTTAACATTTCTGCTTTTAAACCCTACGATAAATATGCAGCAAAGACTTTCATGGGGAGAGGCTGTACATGTTTTGTCATTTTTATTCAGACTGAGGTACGAGTTGAAATTATCTTCTGTGGTAATCGACATCAAGCTACAGATGCTGTAGAGGGTAACTTGTATTAAACCTGCAATAATTCTTTCATGAAGACCCAGTGCAATTTCATCAGTTTCTCTACTTTATCAGAGACTAAAAAATGAATCTTTCTAAAATCCCTGTAGTGAAATAAAGACTACAAAAAAGGTTTGTGTCAGATGAAATCTGTAGATTAAATATAGAGGGGAATGTAGAGTAAAAAAGCTGGCAGCTATATTAAAGTTACTACTGTACAGTGAGCAATGAACTGTTTATTTACTACTGAGATATGTCATAAAGCTGTAAGGGAAGACAGTGTCTGTCATAGTAAGACAAAATCTGGCATCAGAATAGTGCAAATCATATCCTGTGTAAATGCTGACTGGGCATATTACTACACTGCCTCAGGTGTAATTATATGGCACCAGTTGTACCATCCGAGAACAGAACGACGCTAAAGACATGATCACAAACCACAGAAACGGGAAGATTTCTGTCAGCGGGCTGTTTACCAGACCCCAAAGATCTAAGCCAAAGATCTAAGCCTGATCAATTTGTTTCCGCATTGCCTGGAGTGCTGAATCACTGGGGGTCTCTACCATTTTGTAATGCTCTGTAAAAAAGTGTAACCTCAGGTAGAACAATCCAGGGTCAATCCTAAAGGAAAAAAAGACTGGATTTTCACAAAACGTAAGATCTATGAAGCACATTTCCCCTCATAAATGCTCAGAGGACGAGTATTAAACCAAAACAAGACACATCCATTCTTCCACAAACAACAACTGAGCAGGAAGAGCAAGACAGTTTTGGCTGACCTGCCGTGAGCGTGGAAGTCCAGGTGCAGGAACTGGTCCTGGTGAGACAGAGCTCTCTTAGCCCTCTGGTGCTTGCTGTGTAAGACGTCGGTGTCGTAGGACAGGCCTTCATAATGTCGAATATACTTGCTCAGGGATTTCCCATACTGACCTACAGAATAAAAGGAGGAAGAGAGAAAAAGAGAGATGAAAATCAGTGACCGGTTGTGATCTGACTAGCAATTATTGAACACAAGACCTGGTGCAGAAATTTAACAGGTAAACTGTCAACCCTCTACGCACACCTTGGCAATATAATCGCCATTGGCTAGTAAATTTTTTTGTTTACTCGCCAGACTGATATACTATTTTACACACACACACACACAGACACACGTTTACTTTCAGTATTTGCGTGTGTTCCGATCATAGAGGTTCCGATGAGCAGGAGAAATGGTTCTATCCAATACAATTATTCGTTAATATAGTCTATTTTTCCACTTAGAAGCTTATTTTATGCACTGAATTTCTAGATAAATAAATAAAATTAATGGTTTAAAAAACCATTGCACTGTAGAATCGATATTTTGATGTGAGGATCGATCCTTTCGATACAACATCAGTATCGAAAGTATCGAGTGGTGACAGAGTGAGGATAAACCTCTGTGACTTTTGGAATTACACTTTGAGCTGCAACATGATGACTCATTATCTCTAAATTACAAGGCTTAGGCCCGTTTCAAACATCCTGTGTCTGCAGCACGTAAGCAAATCAGCATTACAGGGCATTGAGCTTTCATACTGACAGAGTTTCTGCTGCCTAATACATCTGCGGCTCTATTGGGGCTGTTTTAACCAAATGGATGACTGGACACGTGCCCAGGGCACTACGTCAGGGAGGTGCACCATGTAGGGCAAAAAAAAAAAAAGAAAAAAAAGAAAAAAAAAAGTGATTTCCAGTTCACCACACTGAATTTATCCTTAAAATAACGGTCATAAATTATAAAATGGTTACTGGGAGCCAGCCAAACTTGAAAAAATGACAAACTAAACTACAACTCAATCAGTAATATATGGCCAGCAATGTCACCATCCAGCAAAAGTGATTATGAATTTATTGCTGTCTTGGAGCTTGCTGTATGAAAAGCGTTTGGTTAATAGTGAATATTGACCTATTGTGCGTACCGTTGTGGCTCCCGCTGTTAGCAGGGGATAGTCGCTGCATTTGGGGTAAAAACGAAGGAATTAGTTATTGTGTGAGGTGCCAAGAATATAAATAGACCCGGGTTGCACTGTCTGTTCATTCAGTCGTCTGTGAGTGACGTCACCTCACAATACAAACATGCCCCATAGTATAGTCCCACCCCTGACAATGACTGATAGGTTTCTGTATAAGGCATCGGAAATTTAAATGCTAAAGGAATTGTGATTCCATTTGAGTTTTGGCAGGTTACAGGCACAACACAGAGAGAGTGAAAAAGCAGACGTGGTAATTAATATTGCTATTTAAATATGACAGGCTCATAACTCTTAATACATATGAAATACAGTTGCAAATGGACTTGGGCAGTCACTGTGCATTCATGAAAGCGAAAACGCAAACGGTAATGCAAGATTTGCAATTCCTTTTGAAAACAGGCCGCTATATCCTTCCATAGAAATCTGTAAATATGGGCATGAATCTGAATATGTGTGGCTTATGTGTGAAGCTAACCTTATACTGTCATAACATTTATTAATAGGAGGAACTGAGAACATAGAGAAAAAGAAAAAAAACTAACTAGGCCTATACTGTCATGTGTGCATGAGGGCACTTATATTTTCCACTTCTATTGTGGGAAAGTACAGTATTCATGTTTTTCCTCCCATCCTTCCTCAGACTCAAAAAGCAACTTCCTGGCACAGTAGCATTTATTCTAAGAATAGCCTGACCTTGACCTGACCCAGGGAGAGTTTACTTCGTCACGACACTATAGTATCTGCTCAAACAAAAGTTGTACACATGAATTACCCACAGCGATCCTTATATTTCATCTCACGAACAGCTTTTCTAGTCCCTTTCCTTCACAACCCTGAAATCTTGACAGTTATATACTCTTCTTATTTTGGACAGTGCAACGTAGTCTGACAATGTATAAGAGTCTACAAGACAATGTGACTAATAACACCGTCCAACCTCTGGTTGACGTGTTTTCAGAGGAAGAACTCTGACACTGGCTTTCAATCAGTCAACACAACCCACAGAGAACCAACCTTTCCTGTTTTGAATCTAACTCTAGCTCCCCTGGGCTCCAACCACGTCTGCTATGACAATAAGCCTCAAGCACCAAACTGGCTTGAATAGAGCAGTTCCTTTTACTCTGAGAACAGAATAACAGCTGTGCAAGAGGGCCTTCAGTGCTGACAGGTGAGGTCATGTCTGGAGATGGTCTGAACCGATTTATACCTCAAAAACTGAATATCACAGGTAGGGCTGCAACAAATGATTATTTTGATAATCGATTAACGATTATTAGAACGATGAATCGACTAATCATCGATTAGTTCGCTGATTAATTAGTAGACATTTATTGATTATTCAGCTTTTGCAATTAGTTAAAATATTGAGTTATACATATTCTAACAAATAAATTAAGGTAATCACTTCAGCTTTTGAAAGTCATATTATATTACAGTTATACAATTCATTTATACAAATAAATATATTTGGCACACAAAATGAGATGGCAGAGAAACTCTCTTATTCACCGTTTAATTAGCTATATGAAAAAAGTAGCTGAATGACACATAATTCTGCCTAAAATATCTTTTTGTAAGTCATTTGGATAAGAAACAAAATAAAGGTTAAGTGATAAGACATTTTATTTTTGGATAAACTAATATTCACAACATAATCTATCTTAAAATACCTTGTAGGGTTATGATAATCAAAACAGTCCTGAGCTAGATCAAGCTTTGATCTCTGCAAACCAAACTATAACTTTAATGAAATGTTTTTTTCCCCACTATTAAAAATATTTTATCATTTGCTAGCTCCACACTGGAGAGCTGCTTTTTAACTGAAAATCAAGTTGTAATTCTAACTGAAAGCAACACTGACTCACAAAGCTGCTTGATTTAAGGCTATCTATTGCATAAAGTACTATATAAATAAACGTGACGTGACTGGACTTTACTGGAGTACTGAACTGCAGAGCTCGTGCAAACATCCACATCGCTGTAATCAGATGCGTTTTAAACTGCTACTTTCTCACCGCTGTCAGTTTTTGATGCGTTTATTTTGTTATTGACAGGAAAGCGTGCAGTATATATTTACATATTCACCCAAACGCTGCTCAGCAGCTTCAGGTTTGGCTGCGTTTGCTCAGAAGCGTTGCCGCTGCGTCTTCTTCTCTTGATTTGCATCAGGAGAGCTGAATTACAGTCTTGTGCTACAGCGCCACACTGGTCAAACCGCGTTATTGCAGGCTCTTACATTAGGTCATATGAGATCAAACGGCTACTCGACAACAAAAATATTTGTCGACAATTTTTCATTTTCAACGTTGTCGATAATGTCGACTAATCGTTTCAGCCCGAATCACAGGCCAATTACTGCTGCAATCTAGTGTTCAAGAGTTGGCTCAGAGCTCTGCATGTTCTATCAGGAAGCATTTTATTTTTTTCTCCTCAATTGTTTATCAACTGCTTTCAAAAGCTTACCAGAGCACACAGAGAATACAGCAAGTTCTCAAAAATGCTTAAATATTATTTAAACTATGGCTGGGTAAAAAACATCGATTTCTTGATTTTAATCGATTATCATTTTTATGAAATTATATTAATTCATAAATGCCAAGAATCAATTAGTCTAGCCTGTCAGATAATGAACGGAACATTGTAGCGTGCCTACCCATTCAATAAATTTTAATAATCTTTGTGATTTGTTACTTTTGATATGAAACAAAGTCTTAGATTTTAAATTCTATCTATTCAAATATTAAATGCCGTTTTGGTGCTGTTTAATGTGGAGTGACAGTTGGCTGCGAACTGATCATCTCCTCCACTTTAATAGCAGTTACAGCACGAAATAAACATGAATGAACATCTGAAGTTATGTTAAAAGAAAGAGTACAACTTACCAAAATCCATATCCTGTCTCATGTAATCGCTCAATCGACAATAGCTTGACGACACATTTACCACAAAAAAAACATATTCAGTGACCATGAACTCATTAGTCAGCTAGAAAAATGAACTCTAGAGAGGTGCATTTTGCTAAATATGCACCATATAACATATTTAAGGCTGCAACAACTAATCAATAAAATCGATTATTATTGATTATGAAAATCATCGACAACGATTCTCATTATCGATTAGTCAGGTCTGCCCACAGTGCACGTCCAACTTCAGCCGGTCGCATCAAATTACATCACTGAATTACGCATTTCTATGGACAAAATGCATCTAAAAAATAGTGGAGGAATCAGAATGAGAAGCTGCGGAAGAGTTACATGATCCAAGCTGCCCAAAACATGAGAATTCTTTATTTTAAGCTTTAAGCTAATGCATTAGCGTAATGGCTTGCCCTGTCAGGCGCTTTGACAGATGCGTGCGCGTCCTCAGCACAAAAAATTTAAGTTTAAGGTCAAATCCTTATGTATAAATGTCACAAATTCACGCGAGCATTTCCATTTTTGCATAAAGGTCCTGAGCGCCGGGCGTGTGCGCGTCAGACAGACGGAAAAGAGAGAATTAATAATCAGCGCAAAAACATTAATGTGCTGAAATATCTGTTGTTGAAAATTAAATTAAGGTTTAAAGGTGTGATTTTATTAATCTTTATCATCTTTATTATTATTTACATTTTTAATGCAGAGTTTTAAACTATATTCACCAAATACAATGCTTAAATTTATTCAAACAAATTTATGTAAGGTTTTTAACAAATTATGGTTTGTGCCACTGCTGCTCTAAACAAACAATGCCAGCAAGAATGCAAGCTGTTATAAATGGCATAGGAGGCCATTTTTGATATGTGAATAAAAACTATTTAGTTGTTTAAGTTTATTTGCCCAATAAATGACAATAAATTTTTTTGATTTAAACAATTTTGACAGATTCCTAAAATGTGTTTTCTCTTTTTTTGATCTGTTCTTTACATAGAGGTACTATAGGCGTCAGAAGACTTAAGCTGGTCACATTTATTGTTGTTTGGCGAATCTTTCATGCAGTGCGAAAGATTTCAAATTTACTTTGTTTTAAATGTACTAATTTATTGCTTGGTTTGATGTGAAGATGTACTTCATTGCTACACTACTGACAATAGACCTTTTCGAAATTTCGTAATGTGACTGCACCTTAAAGCTCATGGCCACTATTGCTTCGACTGTATCCACCTTTTTCTTCAACGCGGAAGTAAGCCTATGGGTGAGACTTCCGGTTCATTAGCCGCTATAGGGAAATAACGAGAAGAATAACAACGTGCAGTAAACGGTAAAACTGTTTGCACTACAAACCAGTGTGTTCATAAATAAGATAATACATTAAAATAATATGGTAAGGCACACCCATTTTCAATATCAAGCAGCAAAAGGAGCGGTTTTGTACAGCTAAAAATAGCTGGATGCGGATGAGACCAGAAGCTAGACCCATAGAATTTACAAATGGCCGCGCCCATTTTTACGGCAAGAAAAAGGTGGATAGAAAAAAAAGAGCACTTTTAACATCCTTCAGTGTTGACCTTTTGTGTCCCACATGAGGAAGAAGGCCACATTGGTTTCAAACAACATGAGGGTAAGTGAATGATTTTTAAAATTTTATGGTGAACTATCCATTTATTAATAAAATAATACTACAAAATATATGATCATCACAGAAAAAACAAAACACACACATCTGCAACACTATCAACATGTCACACTTCTCATTGGCTGAGACATTTTGGAAGCAGAAGAAATGAAATTCCTGCATGGCAGTCTGCCATTCACCAAAGTGTCATTTCAAGAGAAAAATAATCAGTGGCTATCCTATGAAACACAACAAATAAAAATTAAACAGCAGAGCAGCTTTCTCAGCAAACGTTCAGAAACACCTGACCTGATGGACTGCAGCTGACGCACAGCTTTAATTAGTGGTCGACCAATATTGGTTTTTTGACAGCCGATGCCGATATCTTGGAAAGCAGGGTGGCCGATATAATTTTATTTTTTTAAATTAATATTTAAGAAACGTAGAAATAATTTGAAAATGGATTAA